TTGGGGAAATTAAATGTATTCGAATCCCGTAAAATAATAGAAAATAAGTTGCTTGCTTTTAAAATGTGATCCTGATCGTATTTAAATCTCTTCGTTTCTGTGGCGTTATGGTCAGCCTAGCTCATATATATATATATCTTTATATAATGGTTTTCTAAGCTTGAAATGTCTTCTGATACAAGTAGGTGGTGTCTAGGCTTGAAATTTCTTCTGTCGCAAGTAGGTGGTGCCTATGATTGAAATATCTTCTCCCACAAGTAGGCGGTGTTATAAGCTTAAAATGTCTTGAAATAATCTTCTCACACAAGTGGTAACAACACAACCAGCTGTCATCTCATCAACAACACAACCAGCTGTTATCTCACCAACAACACAACCAGCTGGCAGCTCACCAAATACACAACCAGCGATCATTTCATCAACAACACAACCTGCTGTCAGGTCATCTACAACACAACCAGCTGTCATCTCACCAACAAAACAACCAGCTGTCAGGTCATAAACAACACAACCAGCTGTCATCTCACCAACAACGCAACCAGCTATCATCTCACCAACAACACAACCAGCTGTCAGATCATTAAAAACACAATCGAACGACTTTTGGAAGATTCTTCTTTCTTTTAAACGGTCATGTCTGGTGTTTGAATTGTTGTAGTTGTAAAAATATTGTCTTTTGTTAATCCATTTATTTGCTGAACTTGAATATGCACATTTCATGGCACCAAACATGTACCTTCTTTTGGATCAAATAAAAGACTCGTGCATTATCTTAAATAGGTCCAGAAACTGCATCTCAAGAATTCCCTTTGCACAAAAATCCTTGGGGTTGTGTCTTTTTTGTTTTTACTTACGACAAGTAAAATAGGCCTCAACCCACAAGGGACTGAATATAAATTTGTTCGTTATTTTATAAAACGAAGTGGCTATTCGTACCCGGGTCCGAGAAGTTAGAGGTTAAGATTAAACAATTTTTTAAAATATATTATTGTTATTTTGTAAGACAAAACATGGTATCAAATGAAAGATAATTGAATGAACTAAATGTTTGTAAGCCTAATTCTTCAGTTCAACTAAAATAAACTACCACAAATGATATCCGAATAGCATTGAGTCTAAAGAGACCCGGGTCCGAATAGCGGCGATGCGTTTCCGAATGGCCGCAGCCTTTATAAAATGCCTTCAAATCGGTAAACATGTCTGAGACAAGCAGAGTTGGACTTGCAATATGGTAATCAATTCCTTTGAAGAGTTTGTTCAAATTTGCAGAAAGTCCAGGTTCATTTCCAGAACCTTTTCGCAGTCTGTCGATAACAATTCAGAGTGCCTCTTATCCTTGAAAAAAAATCTCAAGCTCAGCTCTCAGTTTTTTGGTTTTATTTTGTTTTTTAATTACTGAAAACCCCAAACGTTCGCACAGCTGATCCACCAGACAGAAATGCTGTAGGGTATATCGGGATATTTTGCGTTCATTTTTTGAGGTGAAAAATGTGTGCGGTACTGACGACTATGATGAATGAAGCCAACGGAGCGAATAAAGTTCACTATTGAAACAAACAAGTTACAAGACACAGCATATCTCCTGATGAACGGTTTAAGGTTGAACGGTTGAATGGTTGAACGGTTGAATTTGTTATGTATGACATATTTTCCCGTACGTGAACTTTGCTTGAACCCCAGCAATTTCTTGTATAATGTTTGCAATTGCTCTAAAAATTTTAACAAATGCTGAGTAGCTTCTGGAAGGCAGGGCTTACGCGTCGGTAGACCCACATATATAAGGGATTGACAGATACGGAGATTGATAGATATTTTTAACTTCACGAGACGTGTATTATTCTTTGTGTACTTATATGTGTTTATTCGCATTGATCATTCATTATTATTCTTTGGCACATTGTACTGTGTTAACTGTGTACCGGTACAAGATCTACCATACTGTAAATTGATGATTTGTAATTATATTTCTTTTTCTTTTGTAATTGTATTATTGCTAAATTAAATCCTATTACTTGTAATTGGCAACTGTTTTGGGTGTCGTAATTTTGTTATTTATTATTTATCTATGGCAAAGTCCTTTGTTAGGCACTGTTTGATCGAGCCATAACTTAAAACAAGAGATTAATCTCTCACAAGAGAAGCCAGTGCGTAACAAATGGTTGAACTTATCGCATTTGGAATAAGATATTAGCATAAGCACTATACAGATGTTCTGCTATCCATGAAAAGTCGTGCAGTAGAAGAAAACAAGCTTTGAAGAACGGAGAGACATTGGCAGAAGTGAAATGTTCAGTGTTGTCCTTTTTAAGGATTGTATTTTTTGAAAGTCTTTTCTTCCTAAGGACTCTGTGAGCAATGGTGAGTAGACAATAACAAGCCCACATCATTGCTGGGTGGCCTAACTTCTCCCTCGACTTTTATGTTAAGGGTGTAAATATGCTGAACTGCAAAAGTCAGAGACGTCAGACGTCGGGGGGGAATCTGGACGTCAGACGTCTAAGGTATCTAGACGTCAGAAGTCTGGGGGTATCTGGACGTCAGAAGTCTGTAGTATCTGGGCGGCAGAGGTCTGGGTATATGGACGTCAGAAGTCTGAGGTATCTGGATATATTTCTAATTCAACTTTTTTTTTTATATTTTTTTTTTTAAAGCGTTTTTTAAAAAAAAAACTTTGGTTACTTTTAAAAGCTTTGTCAGAGTAGAACAAAATAATGTGTTTAAAAATTAATTGTCTATTTATTCGTCCACACTGTCAATTTTCTGAAAATGAATAGTTTACAAGTGATTAAAAATGTACCACTTAGAGTATGTTTGTTCTTTTTATTTTTGTAGAACAATATAACTAAGAGAAAATTTCCCCGTGGTATGCATAAGCGGTTATTCGTACTAATATTTTGTTATCCACCATTAAGTTATAATGAGGAGTTATAATCTAGCTGTAGAAAAAATGGACACATGTAAGTAGAGCCCTGCTCCTTGCTCAATACAATCAGTTTCATTTTAACGTTATTAAGTATTATTTGTTAAGGACTTGAATGTATATTGTGATTGCGTGTTGTTTAGAGAGTATTTGGGGAGATGTTGCTATTAAATGTTTGATATTTTGTGACGTATTGCGCGAAAGGGGATATGACGTATTATTATTGTTGTGAGCAGTGTGGTCTAGTGAGGAATGGCCATTTAGATCTAGTTGATAAAGGCACTGAATTTTAATATTAATAATCAATGGTTTGTTAAGTTAATTAAATTAAACCCTAGACAACGAAGCCATCGAACCTTTGGGAAGAACCGGGTTCGTAACATTAGTATATGCCTTGACTTCCTTATTTTTTTTTTTATCCGATTTGTTGAATTAACTTTTGTGCTCAACATTTTGTACATGTAATATTAAATAGTGATAATAGCAGGCCAAAGATGTGGACATTAAGGTTAAATAAACTGCGTTGGAATGGAACAGTGTAGGGCGGCGCGTAAGGGAATTTAAGTGGGGTGGGGAGTGGGAATGGAAGTAAAGGGTTATCCAAATGGGACGTAGGGTTGGAGAGTGTCGGGTTCAGAGATTGAAGTACAGGGATATTCAATAGGGATTTAGAATTGGAGGGTGTAGTGTGGAGAGAGTGAAGTGGAAGGATATTCAGTAGGGACATAGGGATGGAAAAGGTAGGGTTGAGCGATGAGGAGGATTGATGAGGTTGGGAACGGGGGGGATGGAGTAAGGGGGGAGGGAGGCATGTTTAAAGATTGTTATATCCTTTATATCAACTTCGCTTATGTTGGCATGTTTCTCTCTGGATGTGGGGCAAAATTTTCGGACGGCTAATTGAATCACTTACCGTCAATCTATCGAGCTGAATCGTGGCACGTTGACTTGTTTCCCATGAAAACACATTCTTTCCGATTTTCAGCTCCATCCCCATCACCCACCACCCCCCCAACCCCAAACTCAGTTTTTTTCCTTATCTTTCAAGGGACGGTGGAGGAAATACGACGCCACTGATTTCACCCAATAAATATTCCCGAGAGAGATTCTCATTTTAAACATTAGCAATTGCCTTTGGAGCGCAGTGTATTTTATTTTTCTGAAATAGTTGGTGTATTAAATTGTGCGGTGAAAAGCGGGTGGGGCATTAGAATATTACTATGATTCAGGGGAATGAAAAAAAATGTACTGTTGCGAGTCTTGAGGGAGTTGGGGGGGGGGAAGGGGGGGAGCACTAATTGGGATTTTCATAAGGTGCATGTTTTTTATGTATGTTTGGTCACGTTATCAGTCCCACACCCCCATCCCCTATGGCTCGATTTTTACATTTTATAAAGGATTTATACGATAAACTGTGTTTTTAAGGATTGTTGCATTTAAATGAAAAAAAAAATTGGGGGAAGGTTGCAGTGGATGCTTTGTTGTGTTGTTGATGAGACGAAGGGTCCCCCTCCCGGGCCCACCGATGTTCATCAAAGGGCCTCAGAACCGGGGCTCAAAAAAGCCTCTGAATTTCATCGTCTTGTTTTTACAGAACTGGATTGATGGATATGTCTACCATGACCATTAGCTCCAAAGTTCTTTTAATGAAATGTGTATAATGTTTTAATTTTTTTTTACTTATTGATATTTGTTATTGTTATCTATTTGATTTTTTTTTTTTTTTTTTGGGGGGGGGGTGGGGGGTGGCGCGAATTCAAATAAACGTTTTGAATGAAACTAATACAACGAATTACCTGGTTTAAAAAAAAAATTACAAATGTCCACAACACGACAAACAAAAAAGTAGAAAAAGCTCCAAAGTTCTTTTAATGAAATGTGTATAATGTTTTAATTTTTTTTTACTTATTGATATTTGTTATTGTTATCTATTTGATTTTTTTTTTTTTTTTGGGGGGGGGGTGGGGGGTGGCGCGAATTCAAATAAACGTTTTGAATGAAACTAATACAACGAATTACCTGGTTTAAACAAAAAATTACAAATGTCCACAACACGACAAACACAAAAGTAGAAAAATGTTCAACGGCTGCGCCCACAGCTGGCCAGCAACGTCGACCTGTAGCGTGTGTTGAACTTCAGGTAGATGAACATGTTGCAGGAGCAGTGCAGTACCTCCAACGTGATCCGCATTTCATTCGTCACCAGATACGTGCCACTGTACCGACCTAAGATACCATACTCCGGAATGCACAGGAGGGCGTAGTAATTGAGCAACTTTAACGTGTTGAACGAAACGAACAGAGTGGACACCATCGTGGTGGACTTTATGGCCAGCAGTTCTTTTCTAGAAGTGGTCTTGACAGGGAGAGGAGCAGGAGTAATATCTTCACGAGCGGTGGTGTTTGCCCCAGAACTTTTCTTCCCCGTGATTTTCCCATGACCATATTTCGAGTGTTTACCAGAACGCATTTCGTCAGACGTCAAACAATTCCTCAAATCCTGGTCGGTAAATTTAGTTTTAAGCTCCGAAGACGTCTTCTCGGTGCTGGCGATTGTCGCATTCCTGAATTTTGATGAGGCCCGTAAGCTTGAAGCCAGAACGATCAAGCAGAAAATAACAGTGAACTGACACGTGTTGGTAAAAACTAAAGATACGAGGCTGACCGCAGAGTAAATCGTTTCAAGGTTTTCCGCCGCCCATAATTTAATTATAGTTTTGTTGTTGACGGGGTCGAACATTTCCGCCAAACTTTGGGATGCAAGAATCGGCAGGTGCATCGCGAAGAGTGCCAACGAAATTCCAGTTAAGATAACGGCTGTTCGTTTCCTCGTGAATGTGTTTTTGAAACGAAAAGGCAGCGCCACGCACCAGCATTTTTGGACGGCGATGTATGTCGTGATCCCTTGCGAGATGTCGTAGAAGGGGCCGTAGTAAGCCATGAGGACCCACATTACGCTTGCGCCATCAGTTCTCCACCGTGTCTGAAAATGATCCGATAAGCTCGTGAAGGTGTTGCCGACCACCACCAGCATCACACTCACCAGGTCCGTGCACGACAGCACGAAGAAGCAGATGCTGATGCTGTCTTTGAGTCCGAGTTTCAAATAGACGACGATGTTGATGACATTGGCGCACACGCCGAAGACGAACAGCGGGGGTTGAAGGACTTCTCCGGTGACGAACGTGAACATGACTTTCGTTTCGTACGACGTGAAGTCCAGGAGAGCCTCGTCACCGGCGGCATCCGTGCCGTTCATTGCTGTCGGCGATTCCTGGTGCAGTCAAAGAGTCGCGTGTCTGATGTCTTCACACGAATGCGAATGAAAACATTTAAACAGGAACTGATAGCATTTCCGGGGCGACGGATAAGTTTCTGCACTTGTTTCTGCCCTTTCGTTCTGAAACACAAAAGGAAGAGTTTACGATTGGGAACGGTGTTTAAAATAGAAAATAAAAAGTATGTTTCAAAATATTCATTGGGTGTAATTATAGAATAGTGTTTCTTATGGCGTGTCCTTCATTTCTTTGAAAATTTTCAAAAGATCAACGCTCAATCAAAACTATTAAGAATCAATTCATCTCTTCAGTGAAAAATTCGAAATAAATGTCTTGCTTGGATTGATGTTGCGTCGTCCTGAAATAGTGTTCTGGTTATGTTTAAATTATGTTTAAACACCGTATTGCCCGTTCTCGGCTCACTGTTAACACTTTAACACCAGCATGACGTAATGTTGGACATTCTAGAGATTTAACTAAGACCAACTGACCGCAAAGGTGTGTTTCCGCAGCTATTCTACCTGATGATGTCTTATCCACGATTGGGCCCAACTGTTAGATACTCACAAAAGTCGCTCGCGAAAAAATGGAGCGCATTTAACTGGCTTCCTTAACCTTAACGTCCTTATGTTATTGCCCCTATTAAGATTTCTCAAGCTTCAGCACATCTTGTTCCACTATTTTCTTCAATATTCCAGAACGCAGTCCTTTGTTTACTATCCTCTAACTCTCTCAGTCTTAGCAGCCATAATTACACAACTGTACGTAGGTACAAATAAAAACAGGCATAGCTGCAGGGGTTGCAGTGTCCACGCGATGGAATCTGCTGCAGACGACGGATTATTCTTTGGAGCATATTTTTTTTTTAAACTTTTACATCTGAAAATTAAAATCAAATTTATGTTACGGATTTTGACAGTACTTAAATTTGCATTTTTTTAAATTCAGTTTTCTTTATTTTTGGTCTAAAAAGGGTGAGAATTCCAGACATGCCTTCCAGGTATATGTTATATAAGTATGGAAGTTTTTATTCACCTATTATAGCAGGAAGGTAGCAAGTAGTTATTGCTAAGGTGTGAGCTAGACCTCAGGCCAACAAGTTGGAATGTTGCCTATATAACCTCAGGCTAACAAGTCGGAATGTTCCCTATATAACCTCAGGCTAACAAGTCGAAATGTTCCCTATATAACCTCAGGCCAACAAGTCGGAATATTCCCTATATAACCTCAGGCCAACAAGTTGGAATGTTCCCTATATAACCTCAAGCCAACAAGTTGGAATGTTGCCTATATAACCTCAGGCTATCAAATTGGAATGTTCCCTATATAACTTCAGGCCAACAAGTTGGAATGTTTCCTATATAACCTCAGGCTAAAAAGTTTATTTTGTTGCCTAGTTCTGAAATTTTGCGAGATAAAGAAATAGAGGCTGTGTTATTTTCTATATCCTTTACAAACAAAGACTCCGATGTGGTAATTTATTTGAAGTAGAAGAAATAGGTCAAATGACCAATTCAATGATTTAAAGACCACTTAATGATCTACACATCGATTAGGTCACGTCTTGCTGTTGAGTCTTGCCTGGCTCTTGACCCTTACGTTTACAAAACATAACTGATTTTTCTTTTTGCATTATCCCATTCATGATATTGCTGAAGTATTATCGTTGTTGGTGATCATTGAAATACATCACCACAAAGCGTAAGGTGGGGGTGGGATTTGGGGGGGGGGGGATTGATTGTCAAGTGGTGAAGTAGCAACGATGTCAACAGAATTCTAGAAATCCTGCCAATAACGACGAGGTGATCATTGAAATACATCACCTCAAAGCGTAAGGTGGGGGTGGGATTTGGGGGGGGGGGGATTGATTGTCAAGTGATGAAGTAGCAACGATGTCAACAGAATTCTAGAAATCCTGCCAATAACGACGCGAACTTATGTCGTCTCAACGACTGTTAAAATTAATATACAATACACTTGTTGTGTATAGGAGTGATCTCCAGAGAATTTGAAAGCTACATTCTACAGCGCTCGCGGTTATATTTCTTCGAGGCCGAAAAGGATGCTTTACGCAACAACAACAAAAAAACAAAGAAATAATCGAATCCCTTCAAATAGTATATGTTACATTAGCGGCGACGATATTAACGTAATCGGGTCAAGATGTCATTTAGTAAAAGATAAGAAATTTCAGAGACTTTTCCCTCAGCACTTAACGCAAGAAAAGACAAAGCGATTAAGCGAAGTAGTTTAAGTGAAGAAATAATATAGATCAAATAATTGACAGAATTTTAAACACATCTGCTTCAAGTCACCATTTTCTTTGTCTTTTCAAGAAAGCGAATTCGCTTCATATGTTCATTATAATTTAATGGATCCGGGCTTTGGTTTCATTGACTGTCGGATACGAGATACGATATCCACATTCAGCAGCAGGACAGTAAATGAAATGAGTGTTTGAAATGTCGAGCTTGAAGAGTTGATGTGAAAACTACGAGCTTGAAGAGTTGATGTGAAAACTACGAGCTTGAAGAGTTGATGTGAAAACTACGAGTTTGAAGAGTTGATATGAAAACTACGAGCTTGAAGAGTTGATGTGAAAACTAGAAGCTTGAAGAGTTGATGTGAAAACTACGAGCTTCAAGAGTTGATGTGAAAACTACGAGCTTGAAGAGTTGATGTGAAAACTACGAGCTTGAAGAGTTGATGTGAAAACTACGAGCATGAAGAGTTGATGTGAAAACTACGAGCTTGAAGAGTTGATGTGAACACTACGAGCTTCAAGAGTTGATGTGAAAACTGCGAGCTTGAAGAGTTGATAAGAAAGCTAGACGCTTGAAGAGTGAGAAAACTACGAGCTTGAAGAGTTGATGTGAAAACTAGAAGCTTGAAGAGTTGATGTGAAAACTACGAGCTTGAAGAGTTGATGTGAAAACTACGAGCTTGAAGAGTTGATGTGAAAACTACGAGCTTCAAGAGTTGATGTGAAAACTACGAGCTTGAAGAGTTGATGTGAAAACTACGAGCTTCAAGAGTTGATGTGAAAACTACGAGCTTCAAGAGTTGATAAGAAAACTAGAAGCTTGAAGAGTTGATGTGAAAACTAGAAGCTTGAAGAGTTGATGTGAAAACTAGAAGCTTGAAGAGTCGATATAAAAACTAGAAGCTTGAAGAGTTGATAAGAAAACTAGAAGCTTGAAGAGTTGATGTGAAAACTAGAAGCTTGAAGAGTCGATATAAAAACTAGAAGCTTGAAGAGTTGATGTGAAAACTAGAAGCTTGAAGAGTCGATATAAAAACTAGAAGTTTGAAGAGTTGATAATAAAACTAGAAGCTTGAAGAGTTGATGTGAAAACTACGAGCTTGAAGAGTTGATAATAAAACTAGAAGCTTGAAGAGTTGATGTGAAAACTAGAAGCTTGAAGAGTCGATATAAAAACTAGAAGCTTGAAGAGTTGATAATAAAACTAGAAGCTTGAAGAGTTGATGTGAAAACTACGAGCTTGAAGAGTTGATAATAAAACTAGAAGCTTGAAGAGTTGATATAAAAACTACGAGCTTGAAGAGTTGATGTGAAAACTACGAGCTTGAAGAGTTGATAATAAAACTAGAAGCTTGAAGAGTTGATGTGAAAACTACGAGCTTGAAGAGTTGATGTGAAAACTAAAAGCTTGGAGAGTTGATATGAAAATGCTGTTTCATAATAATAACAATTTGTTTGTTTTTCTTTCGAAATAAGACAAAGCAGCTGGTACTTACATGCAGGTTACTTCTAACCGGCAGGTGTGAATATTCCATTTCTTCAGTACACACACTTTGACCCCCGTGCACATAATCGTTTCTTCTCAGGGATGTACACAAACGAAATCTGACGATTGGACGTACAACTACTCCTGAACGCTTGTACATAAAACTGTTTCAGAGCTCTTGTACAGACAAAGACAGTGTGTGCCTTGCTGCCTTAGTGGTACTGTATGAGATGTGCGGTAGTACAAAGTTTATTTACAAATGTGTACGACTTACGATTTACGCTCTTAATAATGTGTTGTTGTTGTTGTGCTTTTTTTTTACTTTATACAGTGTGGATAGAGCACAGTTAGTCTCAGATCAAGTGGCCTCGTGTTTGATTTAGCAAGAGATGCATTCATGTCACTTTAAGAAGCGTTGCTAATCTGGCCACAAGTCGTTTGTATTCTTATTCTCAAGTTCCAAATGTTTGATTCCCCCAACGCCAGGTGTTTTATTTTTTTGACAGTGCCCTTCAGTGTCTTATTCTGCTCAGAGTGCCGTACGTTGTATTATGTGTTCGGCATTAAGTTTGCCACCATTTTGTTTATAGCACGTGCGATTTTCTCTTTCGGATGCGTACTCTCGTACCTTTACTATAGAGCCAGCAGTTTTACACTGGTCTCAGTCATGTGGGTTGTTATATTTTGCGAGTATTAATTGTTATTTTCTTTCATTCGCCCCTAAAATTGATATATTTTAATGGAAACAAAGGCTCTCAAGTGTTGACAAAAAAAGTTATAATTGAAATTATGTATATTATAAGTACATTATAATTTGCACATATATGTTATGATTATACATTACTGTTAGCATGTTCTTAAAATCTTCCGCAACTTAACGTTCTTTAAGCATCGTCTTAATTATTCTTTCGCATTTATGTTTGGAAAATTATTAAGCTATTTTGTAGTTGTACAGTTTTCCATTTATGTCTAAAAAGACACAAATCCGTCTTTTTTGTTCTTGTTTTTTTTAATTTGATTTAAAGTCAAATCAAATTAAATGGGTCACATTTTAAACAGGAAATATGTATGCAATAAATTAATTCTAAAAAATCGCAAAAAAA